GCAGAGACAGAAGTCAGCTTGTTTGACTAGTGAGCAATCTCACCTGGCTCGGTGACATGGGAGTAAAACCACCAGAGCTAAGTTTACACTACTGCCTCCACCCTTGCTGCCACCGAGGAAGAATTATGGATCCCACATTCCCTAGTAAATACATAGTCTTGCAGGCTGAAGCACCCAAGGTGAAATACTACTGACAGCTCCCCCCCACTTGCCCTTTTGGCACGTTGAAGTTATTATGCATGATGTAATGCAAACTGCTGTGTCCTATATCCCCTTGCTCGCTGTGTCCATGGTGAACACCTCTTCTGTCTGCTCAGGGTAAGATTTATTGACATCAGAATTCCAGCTTCCTACTAGCAGCACCAGCTCCAAGCCCCCTACCACCTGGCAGCTCTGGGTCGGTGAAAGAGAGCTGTTACCTCTTGCCCTAAGACAGGCCCCATAACACAGAGCTATAGTGAAACCACACATAGGAAGATGCTGAATCTTTCATTGGAAACGATGATTTCTCTGCTAACTACCAACTGACTTCTCTACCCCGAGAGGATGAAATACCTAGACTCACTGGACTCATAGGTTCAAACCCCAGCAAAGTCAACTCAAGCCTTCATCCTGCTGAGGCAGCTAAATTGATTACCAGTCATTTTACTGAAGGAAAGATGTATTGTAGATGAGATCCTCTAAGGGCATAGGACCTTGTGCCTATTGAAGGCCCCATGGTACTTTTCAGAAATACACATACTTGACTTGGTCACACAACCCAGGACATTTCCCCTATCTCCTTTTCCCAGAGGTGGCTCCATTTCAGTAGTGTTGTACATACAGCACTTTGTGAAGTCCTTGGTGAAGAACAAGGCTATTAATTGTGAAATAGTGACTCCTACTGGGGAGTGGCTACGGGCTTGGTCTCTATACTCCATAATTCATCAGAACTTTTTCTCATTCATACCTTTGTTTTTGCCTTTAGAATAAATTGCAAAATTAATCCTGACAGAAGACGTGACCAACCCCTGCTGCCAGCTTTGGCTTCAATGAAGAAAAATTCCAGTTGATGGGATGACAAAATAAAACTTGCTATAGTTTTAGAAGGTACAATTTGTAGAAAATTAGCAACAATTGGTTGGGTTTCAAGAAACTGCCAATCTATGCCTGTTTATAATTTATTTATCTGGGACAGGTTAGAAGATCGCTGCTGACATGTACCAGTTATACTGTAGCAACTTTCCCCCTTACCTTCTGCATTACTAGTGGCAGTCTCTCTGGAGTGTGCTATCCCCCTTGCTGTAATAATCTTAACTAAATACATAGAATGGCATTACCATCATGTACAGTGTTATTGTTGCAAATGGCAGCCTGTTTTCTGCTAAAACTGCAGAAGGTGTGGGGGAGATTTTCTATCTATTATCACAATAGTATTTCATAACACGCCCCACTAACTGTTAATCTCTGCATAAACCTATGTGCAAATCTTGGGATGCAGGTAGGGTGTGAATGTGAGTGAGAGAGAAAGCCTTCATACAGGCTCCAGCAGTGACTCCGAATCCACTTTCCTGCACCACATTCTCACTCATGAAAAGTTTGGATTTTTTTTTTCTAATGTTGTAACTGCATTTTTAGTGCAGGAACAGTGGCTTGGAGCCTTCTGTTTATCCACAGACTGGTTACTGTACAGCTGTAGCATAAACTTCCTCACACTGCTTTACCTTTCTGACCAATACGGGCTAAAGAAGATAGTTTACTCTCCTTGTCCCTTCATTCCTTAAGCACTCTACCTGCAAGAGTGCTTGTTATTGCCAATTGTGATGGTAACGTGAAAAATTGTCTTTGGGGTTTTCATTGTTCTTGTATTGTCACACTTAAAGGTAAATAAACATCAGGAATTTTACCAGCTGATGTGCAAGTTAAGCAACAAAAACAAATAGGAATAGAGAAGGGGAAATTAGTCCTGGAAGAGATTTCAGATGTGAAGTTATAAACGGTTATTAGAAACAGGAACAGTAAATATATAATCCAAATACCCTGCTGGTGCCCCCTTAATACTTTGGGTATATTTTGTGAGCTGGAACTGATCCCCAAATTATTACTAGTTGATTACAGACAGCAGGTTTGGTGCTGTATAGGACAAAGACACTAGCTCTCCCCTCAGGGACCTTACAGTCAAACAAAACAATTTGCACCCATAGTGCTCCCAGAAAAAAAAGCAAGGCAGAATGGAATGTTTTAAGAATAACTAACACTTCTTAGCTGAACAGATTAGGGTTAATAGGCCTCATGAAAAATGGATTTCTGGTGAAGCAAATAAGAAGTTTTCATGCTGTTTTCTAGGTTCTGTTGAGTGCTCAGAGTAGGTCAGAAAATTCAGATCTGTGGGATAGGAGGTGGGGGTCTACTCCCAGCTCTACCAACTCATTTGCTGAGTGACCTTCATTTAATGTCTCCATGCCTCCGAGACCCAGCTGTAAAATTGGAATATTATTACTTAGGTATCCCAGCCTGGATGTTGTGAGCCTTTATGCATACATGTAAATCACTTTGAGATGCTTGGATGGAAGATACAAAGGTAATACTTGGTGCTCTGTACTAACGTATTTCAGCTTTTTTTTTAAAAAAAAAATTGGGAAAAGTGCTTTGGTTTGAAATGGATAAAACCACCCCATGATGGTACCATACACTAAGGCCTGGAAACAGAAGATTTACACATTACACAAGGTCGGCCAGACCAGCTCTACAACAAACTGCAAAGCACAGTCCAGACTGAATGATTATCCTATTGCATGGGGTGAATGGTCCCCCAAGAGGAAGGGATTTTTGTTTTAGAGGTGACTAAATAGGTTGGGGAGAAAAAGTGGGGAAGTCCAGTTCTCAGGGCGAAAATAATGAAGGGCACAAAGTTGTGCACTCCTGTTTACCAGGTCTCACAACAAAAATCAATCAGGGGACAATCAATGAAACTGAAAAGCAGCAAGTTTAAAACGAATAAAGGGATCTTATTTTTAAACTCAGAATGAATAATTATGCTGCACAACTCACTGACATGACATACTTGAAGCCAAGAACTTATTGAGCCTGAATGAAGAATTACAGTTATATTAATATAGAACAACCATACCCATATCAGACAGGAAATTACAAAACAGAAGAGTGATAAACCTTCATACACCTGTACAAGCTAGCCACTGTGTGACTGGGCTAAGAAAAACTTCCCATATGGACTGCTTATTTCACATACTGTTCACTGTGAGGTGTCTTGCACATTCTGGTACTGGCTGGATAAAGGATGTTATGGTCCACTGGTCTGAACTGCTATGCTTATTCCTATGTTCTACTGAAAACTCAGTGGGGTTTGAGCTGCCCTTTCTTTCATCGGAGGGTGAAAGAAAAATTGCTCCTGTCTTCCAGAATGGGGACACCCAACAATAGGAATGTAAAGGACCCCTCTCTAACTCCCTATTTATAGAACAGTAGCATTTCACAGAAGATATGTAAGTAGCACAAACATATGCAAATTTCACTGGCCTTGTCTATACTACAAGAATTACCTCACTGATTAGAGGGAAAAGCAACAGGTGTAGCTGAACACTGTTTAACTGCAAAGGTGCAGGACAAACTGTTGACCAGAAATCCATAGCTAGTACCTATGTGTCACATGCTTTCCCATTTTTTTCACCCTCATGTAGTCTGCATATATTTCTTTCTCTAAAGGTAAAGTGAGTGTTGCAGATTCCCTTTCCCCCCCAACAATGTATCAAGCATTGCCCTTGGAGAGCCAAACATAAAGGAATGCCCTTCATTTGAACTACAAGTGGCATGGATAAAGATACCTTTTCAACAACTGTACAAAATATTCAACAGATACTTTCTCGCCATCTTGATAAAATGTATTGCTCAGTACTCCATTTTTCACTCTGGCATTCATTCATTTTCCATGATGAACAAAATACTAATCATAGACAGATAGTGCTGTGATGTGACAAACATCTAAACAATATTAACATTTGAAATGAGTTATATAAGTGTTCCCTTTTTGATATGACAGAAGAATAAATAAAATGGATTTTTTAAATTCTCCACTTTACAGTGTCTGGACAGTGACAGCATCAGCCACCACTGAAACAGCCTCTGCTGTTATGGAATGAGTAATCAGCAGCAGCTACCTACTAACCCTATTTCTCCAAATCAGCATTATTCCCCGCCCACCCCCAACAGGGGACCTAAGGGAGATTTCTACTCCCTTTGGGCTGCTGAACAACAAAAGGAAATACAGCAGGATCCAAGAATCTGGCTCTGAACCTTCAGCAATAGAGTGCTCCTTAGCACTCTGCTTGGACATTGGTTCCGGGGTGGCTCAATACAAGAGAGCTCTGTCTGCTGGAACACCAACATCACATTCTGTGGAACACTGGAAGAGATTCTGCCCCCTGCTTCAGCAGCATATAGGAAATGTAAACAGCCCACAAGGAGAAGGGGGAGAATTTCCTCAGTGCAGCTACAGCGTCAGGTTGCCAGAGGCACCCCCACGCAAGCCCTGGCACATTAATAAAAAGTGAAAATGCCAATGAAACTCCAATTTCAGTTTTTTCCCTGGAAGTTAAGCTATAGCCAAAACTCCTAAGTCAGTCTTCTGTACTAAACTCCGGACAGATATACACTTTTTAAAACCAAAAGAAGTGAAAGACTTAGACCCAGGTGCTCAAAAGGTATTTAGGCACCTAACTCCTATTGAAATCAAATACCTTTGAGGATCTGGGCATTGGCATTTGTACACGTGATCAGTTGGTATAGTACAATCATTCCTTAGTGTACTGCACATGTTTAACATGGTGCGTGTTTTTCTAGTAATTCACTTCATCCAACAAATGAAAGAAATCAAATTGCCCTTTTACTTACCCTATTTGTTTAAGTTTTGCAGAGGTGATTTAACAATCCTTTTTAAAAACTGTAGTCCCTCAAAAGGGGATGAGAACGTCACAGCGCACAGATAGAATAGAAGCACGCTTGGCTTGAGTTTCTAATGGAACTTTTTAATAAGGTAGAACACAGTTAACATTTTCCACTGAAATGCAGTTATCTCAATGAATAAATTACTGTATACCCTATTTGGTTAAGACCAAAAATTCCACATACAGAGGATTTACGTGTTTTCACCTATATTTCTTTATCCATTACATTACTATTCTGAATGATGTACAGATTTTCTTCTTTTCTTGAATTTTTCATTTGAAGGTAAGTTACCACATGTATCTGGCTCTGGCACACAAAAAGAAAACATTTATTGTTTTGAGAGTTCTCTTTCTTGAACTGTCTCCACTGCAGCACGTTTAAACAGTTATTTTAATGACTGTAATTAATTAGATGGCTTAGTCAGAGCCCACTATCGGCTGCGCAGTTCTTTGGTAAAGGTGTGGCAACAGACTCTTTGCTTTCGGTCAGTGCCCTTGGCTGATGGATAAGCACGCTAAACTTAACCCCTTGGTTAGCTGCTGCCCTAACAAAACCGCTGTTTGCGGTCATCGTGATGGCTTTTAAAGTGTCTCCTGTCCCAAAGATGGCTAGAGAGCGGCTATTGATTTTTGAACTAGCCACTAGTCTTAAGGCACGGTCAGAGGGCTGGTCTGGCACCACATTAATTCTTTTCATGAGAGAGATGGCTCGATCTTTCTCCCCAGGTCCTCCTAGAGTTTCTAAGATTGACTGAAAATCTTTGACTGCAGATTCACAAGCGAACAGCTCCTTGCCCTTCATGAAATCCTCCAACTGAGGCAGGACTCTCTCCTTCCTTTCCTGTGCTGCCTGCTCCGTTAACACTTTCTCCTTAAAGATAAAGTGGCAGCCACCATAGCTAAGGGAAGAGACATATGTAATTAAAGTAGTGATGTCCAAGTTAACCCTATTGCACACATCTACTTTGATCTCTGTAGGAAAAGCAATGCTGGCTACTAAATTCTCCCGGTCTACTCTGGTCACCTGCAGGAGCTCAGAGCTTTCTTCATCAGATTCGCTGGCACTTAGGTGTCCCTCTTCAGTCAAGTGCTCTGCCAAAGAGTTAACAGCAACTACATCTCCCCGCACGGATATGCCCATCTCTTTCAGCCTCTCTGCCATAGGACTGGACACACTATTATAAAAAGCAAAGATAATATGGGGGTTGCTGTATTGCACTGGTTGCTGACGGCTTGCTTGCAGGAAGTCCTCTGCCTGCTCAATGATGCTTTTGTCGCCATACTGGCCCCGGCCCAGCCAAATATTGTGAAGAGCTTCAGCTTTTCGACCAATTGCTTTCACCCAAGTGTGGCCACCATTTGCAACAACATCTACCACCAGCGTTTGCTTTTCTCCAAAGCAGTCTTCATAAGCAAAGACATGAAGGACACTGACGACCTCCTCCAGGTTCTCTGCTGACTCAATTATGGCTCGGAGGTGTGTGAGATTGGTACTCTGCAAATGGGACTCCTTAATAGCCACCTTCCCCGCCTCCACCCTGTGCAAGAATTTCAGCTCAGCCTTCAATTTGCTGCATAGCTTTGCTCCACCTTCTATACCTCCTTTCTGTGATCTGGAAAGGGATTCTGCTCTCTTCATTAATTCCTTAGCCACAGCGATTCTCTCACAAAGCAATGACGGCACAGACATGTTGACAACATTATTTCTATCAGATGAAAGCAAGAGAGATGATCATTACTACAAGTTCAATGACAAAGACAATATAGAAAGAGGCTTTTCCAATACCATACATCAGAGCTTTGCACTGGATTTTGTGCAATGACTACCATAGTTATGTAGCTTGGGCATTAGAAACTGTAACACCTTGGCCAAGCTCTTCAGAAAAGTGACTAATGATTTGATGGGGCCCAATTTTCTGCGGATGAGTACTTAGCGTTTTCAGAAAAATCCAGGCCTTTAAAAAGGTGTCTTCCACGATTTGGGGTTCTTCGACTGTCCAACATCTCCCCCGACCACTTCTGAAAAACTGAGCCCTCACTTCTAACCTTATTCAAACAATCAGATTTATACAAGCTGCATTGTGCTCTTAAGGCTCCACCCTCTCCCTAAGTTTACACACTGTAGTTCTAATGATTATTTTTAATTGCTTATACTGCACCCTGGGAGCTCATTGTGCTTTACCATTTTTAAAGACAGACAACCTCCTATCTCTAGTTATGTTGTAGAACTGTTGCTAATTAAGCGAGTAAACCTAGAAGACTGTTGCCTGGCTGACCTTTAATTACAGAGAGAGTTTCAGATTACAAGAAGGTGTGTAGTACAGTGGACTGACTATAGGCCTAGGATTCAGGAACTCCTGTATGATAAATTGGCTCTATAACAGATTATTTGTGTGGCATTGGGCATGTCATTCCCCACCAACCCACGCTCCCCCCATCAGTATAATGGGTATAATATTATTTACCTACTTCATCACGGTGTGGAAAGGATCAGTTACTTAATATGGGAAGACTTCTGGAAAAAAAAAATCAAACAAACCAGAGCATCATATATTATTGCAAGTAGTTTTTGTATTTACCATAGGGTTATACACATACATACCCCCTACCATTTTCAGACCAGGTTAGATGCACACTAGTTGAAGAGAATCAGGTGTTGATGACAGAGGCAGCTGGAACCAGACACAGGAACTAGGCACTCCCCTGAATATGAATCTGCTAATGCAGGTTCTGAGCCCAGATTTGTGGAATCTTTAAGCCCATATGCAGTTGAAACCTTACTTACAACTCTCTCTACCCAATATCACCAAAATCTTCCAAGCACAAAAATCCTTATTCAATCCATCATCATCGTCTTCACAACAAATCAATTTTGAAGCACTCTGAGGAGAGGAAAGTGATCAGGAACAGTCAGCATGGATTCACCAAGGGCAAGTCATGCCTGACTAACCTAATTGCCTTCTATGATGAGATAACTGGTTCTGTGGATGAGGGGAAAACAGTGGTTGTGTTATTCCTTGACTTTAGCAAAGCTTTTGACACGGTCTCCCACAGTATTCTTGCCAGCAAGTTAAAAGAAGTATGGGCTAGATGAATGGACTACAAGATAGATAGAAAGCTGGCTAGATCATCAGGCTCAACGTGTAGTGATCAATGGCTCCATGTCTAATTGGCAGCTGGTATCAAGTGGAGTGCCCCAAGGGTTTTGTTCAATATCTTCATTAATGGTGTGGAGGATGGTGTGGATTGCACCCTCAGCAAGTTTGTAGATGACACTAAACTGGGAGGAGAGGTAGATACACTGGAGGGGAGGGATAGGATACAGAGGGACCTAGACAAATTAGAGGATTGGGCCAAAAGAAATCTGATGAGGTTCAATAAGGATAAGTGCAGGGTCCTGCACTTAGGACGGAAGAACCCAATGCACACCTACAGACTAGGGACCGAATGGCTAGGCAGCAGTTCTGCAGAAAAGGACCTAGGGGTGACAGTGAACGAGAAGCTGGATATGAGTCAGCAGTGTGCCCTTGTTGCCAAGAAGGCCAATGGCATTTTGGGATGTATAAGTAGGGGCATTGCCAGCAGATCGAGGGACGTGATCGTTCCCCTGTATTCGACATTGGTGAGGCCTCATCTGGAGTCCTGTGTCCAGTTTTGGGCCCCACACTACAAGAAGGATGTGGATAAATTGGAGAGAGTCCAGCGAAGGGCAACAAAAATGATTAGGGGTCTGGAACACATGTCTTATGAGGAGAGGCTGAGGGAGCTGGGATTGTTTAGTCTGCGGAAGAGAAGAATGAGGGGGGATTTGATAACTGCTTTCAACTACCTGAAAGGGGGTTCCAAAGAGGATGGATCTAGACTGTTCTACATGGTAGCAGATGACAGAACGAGGAGTAATGGTCTCAAGTTGCAGTGGGGGAGGTTTAGGTTGGATATTATGAAAAACTTTTTCACTAGGAGGGTGGTGAAACACTGGAATGCGTTACCTAGGGTGGCGGTGGAATCTCCTTCCTTAGATATTTTTAAGGTCAGGCTTGACAAAGCCCTGGCTGGGATGGTTTAGTTGGGGATTGGTCCTGCTTTGAGCAGGGAGTTTGACTAGATGACTTCCTGAGGTCCCTTCCAACCCTGATATTCTATGATTCACATGACCAACTCAATCTCTTCAGGCAGTTCATCACAAAAAATAAAGAAAATAGCAAAACAATCTCTCTCTCCCATCACTAAGACAGCATTTAGAAACTCCTGAAGTACCTTCATCGGCTCCCTATTGCCTATCAAATCAAATTTAATCTCCTCACATCACTCCCAATGTTCTCTTTTCATTTCTAAATGAGTCTTCTTTCCTGCTGCCCCTTTAGCCTGATGCTTTCTCCGGCCATATCTGAAAAAACAGTTCTTCAGTGCTCCATATCACAAAACCCAGACACTTCACAACAGCACTCCAGAGTTTACGTTAAAATAATCCGACTTTTTTATTGATTCCCAGTCTCCCAAGGCATCATTTGCACCTGTACGTAAAACTGACGCATACACTCAGTTTTGCAATAAATGTGTTGGCTATATGTTTTGATATCACCACACAATTCATAACAGGAAAAATTAAATGCACACAAATAATCACATCATCGTCAGTGGTAAGGTCGCACCAACGTGCAACATGGCAGAAATGAAGAACAACCAGAGCCATATACTCCTGGGGGAATTCTGCGCCACTGCGTGTGTGCAGAATTTATGTCCCGCACAGATTTCTTTGTTTCCCTGCAGAAATATGACTTTCTGACAGAGAAACTGCAAGGGCAGTCACACGCCACTCCCTAGCTGCGCAGGTACATTTTCTCAGACATCCACAGCAGCCAGAGAGGTAAATCACCGCAGGCCTGGGGACACCTCAACCAGTGGCTCCTACCCTGAGCTGGGATCAGCTGGGCTGGAGGCTGGAACTTCCTCTTCCCCTGCAAGGAGTTGCTGGGGCTGTGGCAGACTCACCCACACAAACCTCCCCCAGCTGCAGAAAGCTCAGAATCCTGCCCTGTTTCCTGCCCTCATCGCGCCTCAGCTACAAGGGGAGGGGTCACTGTGCAGGGAGCTGCTCCCCCATTCGCCAAACCCCCGTGCACCGGACCTCCCATACCTAGATGCCCCCACCAAGCCTCACCCCGTACACTCAGAACCCCACTACCCAAACACCACCCCATTGAACCTCAACCCCTGCATCTGGAGCCCCAGGCACAAAGACCCCCTGCCTGCAGACCCCACCACCCCTGCACCCAGACCATCCCCCACTGAGCTCCCTGCACTCAAACCCCACCCTGACGAGCCCCACCCGCTGCGCCCCCCACACCACTGACCCCCAATTAGCTGCACCCAGACCCCCACCGCACTCCCCCAGCACCCAGCACCCGCCGCTGAGCCCCCACCACCTTCACCGGGAAGCCTCCCCTTCCCCTCCCGCCGCGGCTACTGGCCCTGCAAGAGCAGAAGCAGACATCACAGGGTTGGGGGAGGGACGTGCTCACCCCACCCCTCCTATGGCCTGACCTCCGGCTCCTTGCTGTGGACACCGCCTGGAGAAGTCACATGGGCACTGGCAGGGAGGAAGCGAAGCCACCATCTTAAACCAGGGCACAATGAGTCAAATACCCGGCTGCTGCTCCCGTACCAAGCAGCCGCTCCCCTTTCCCAGGGCTCGCCCCCTCCTAACCCCCCCCCGCCCCAGGCAATCAAACCGCTCCACGCCGCTCCCCAGCCCTGGGGATTGGCACCAAGCAGCGAGTCCCCCGGGCTTCAAGTGATTCTTCCGTACAACTGGCCCCAATGCACAAAACCTCCACTGCTGCAGGGGCTCTCCGTACAGGGGCATTTAAAAGTATGGCGGGGCTTAGGCAGCTCACCGAGAAAGGCCACACAGCCAAATCCACCTGTCTAAACGTGCTCTTCCGCCTGCCTTTAAGACACGAGCCCAGCCACCCCCCAGAGTGCGGTGCGTTTGGATCCCCAGCGGGTTTTGCCCGGGCTCCCGTCTCCTTCCAGGGAGGGAGTGTCTCTAGTAAGGGAGTCTTGTTTACTGGCGTGTCCCGACCCAGCTGCTACCCTCTGTCTTTCTGCCGATGGTCAGCCCCTTTACCGGGATCAGTTTACAGCCGTGGGCTAGTCTCTGAGTCCTCCCCCGCCCGGGATTTTCCTCTGAAGTCCACCACGCTCCTACAGAGCTGTCCTTCCTCAGCGTCCCCCACCGCGGCCCGAGCGCCGTGCCTCGGCCGAGCCTGTGCGATACTTACACCTGAGGGGGGGGGGGGGGGATCAGCCCCGCGGCACGGGCCAGGCTTCTTCCCCCGGTGCAGCAGCAGCTGCTGCTTCCCCTAAACACAGTCATGGAAAGCCAATGGCCTGGCCCACTCCGGCCCTTCCCCTTCTGCGAGCTAAGCAAAAACCCGGCCTGGCTACGGCACGCTCCACCTTCCCGGCCGCCTGCAGCGCCGCCCAGCGATCCAGGCCAGGGCTTTTCTCTAGGGACAACCTGAAACCTCTTCATTCTTACACTGGGCTTTTTATTTACTTGGGGGGTGTATTACAGAGAATTTATCCCGCTGCTACCATTCATACCCATATTTGTTGCATAGCTCTAAAAGCTAACCTCCCAAGACGGGAATGGATATATTTTTTCTCCTCCTCTGGATAGTAAGAGTTGCTTTAGCATTTGCCAGAATAGGACATGTTATGTAGCTCAGGCTGCAACAGATTTCAGAGTAGCAGCCGTGTTAGTCCGTATCCGCAAAAAGAAAAGGAGGACTTGTGGCACCTTAGAGACTAACATTTATTTGAGCATAAGCTTTCGTGAGCTACAGCTCCCCTCATCGGATGCATTCAGTGAGACATTCCCCCTCGCTCTCCTGCTTGCCGAAGAATATCACAAATCACTGCCCCCACACATCTTGCTGACCTTTCAAGTTAGTTCAGCTCATGCTCTCTCAGCCGGCCATTCTCCCCATCTCTAAAAGTAACATTCAAAAAGTACGGGGAAAAACAGATCAGAATAAATGGAGCTCTTAAAATAGTTTTCTTAATTCAAAACAACTTTTTTTGTTACCCTTTAAAATAAAGGGTAGTATTATTATAAAGGGCAGTATTATCTTTGGTATCTTTCCTTGTGAAATTCTTTAGAAAGAGGGAGGGAGGCTGTCTATGCTGTGCTGATACTAAACATCAGCTGTGATCCAGCCTCCAGGGGAGTTCCTGCATCTTTCAGACTGGTTTTAGATCATTTTTTTCCAACTCCAAACCACTCTTAATTGACTGTCAGCATGGCCTCCAGCCTCAGTTTAAATTTGCACCACATCTAGGGTTGCCAACTTCGTAATATTTAAATACCAGACACTCCAGCAGGAGTGCTGGAACCTCCCCTGCCCCGCCTCTGCCCTCCCAGCTCCCACCTCTGCCCTGCCTATTCCCCGAAAGCCCCACCTCTTCCCCCAAGGCCTCACCCTGACTCCCCACCCCTTTTCACTCCTCTTTCCACTCCCCCTCACCACCACCACTGCTCAGGTCTGGAGGGACTCACCTGAAGAGCCGGGGCTGGGAACTCTAGCCACCCAACAGGACAGATAGGAGGCAGCCCTGGCTGATGAGTAGGGGTGACGTGGGTGATGACTTGGCACCTCCGCGGCTGCATTTACTGGACTTTGGGTGTCCGGTCAGTCTATCTGACCGGACACTGTCAGGTCCCCTTTTCGACTGGACTTTCTGCTTGAAAACCAGACACCTGGCCACCCTAACCACATCAAAATCTTTCAGTCAGCATAAACAATATTGTGACACTGGCAGGCCAAATACCACCTCTTCCCAGGCTGCAGGCATTAGCTAAGACCTGACAACATGATGCCATCATGGCCTCCAGCCTAAGTTTAAATTTGCACCACGATTAACACCTATATATTAGTTTTGTTCAAAATAGCTATTAGTCTTATAAGAATGCATAGGCGCCGACTTCCCCTCTATCCGGGGGGAGTGTATGTGATCGACTTTCCCCTCCGCCCCAGGTCCCGTCCCCACACCACCCCTTCTCCAAGCCCCTGCCTCTTCCTGCCCCTGCTCTGCCCCCCACTCCATCCCTTCCCCAAAGCCCCAGCCTCTTCCTGCCCCTGCTCTGCCCCCCACTACACCTCTTCCCACCCCTGCTCTGCCCCCTCCCCTGAGTGCACCCTGTCCCCACTCCTCCCCCTCCTTCCATAAGAAATAAAACAAAACCATAAGAAAACAGCTGTTTGCGACAGGCAGGAAGTTCTGGGAGAGAGGGGGAGAAGTGATTGGTGGGGCCGCCAGCAGGGGAGAGGCACTGGGGACAGGGGGAGCTCAGCTACCGGTGGGTTTCTAAGCACCTGCTAATTTTTTGCCCTGGAGCACCCACGGAGTCAGTGCCTATGTAAGAATATATTTCAACTCTATGAAATGCTTGTAAGTTGTTGCCATAGGCACCGACTCCATGGGTGCACCGGGGCTGGAGCACCCACGGGGAAAAAGTTAATGGGTGCTCTGCACCCACCATCAGCCAAGCTCCCTGCCCCGCCTCACCTCCTCCTCCCCCCCTCCCAGCGCCTGCCGCCACCAAACAGCTGTAGCAAGCTCTGGGGAGCGGGGGGGCCAGGGCAGGGCTTTGGGGAAGGAGTTGAATAGGGGCAGGCAGGGGGCGGAGTTGGGGGAGGGACTTTGGGGAAGGGGTTGGAATGGGGGCTGCGTGGAGTCAGGGCGGGGCCGGGGTCAGAGCAGGGTTGAGCACCCACCAGCACCAGAAGAAGTCGGCGCCCATGGTTGTTGCACACATTAATCTCACTTGCAATGTTTGTATTCCATGCTATAAGAAAATACTTAAGCTTTCCTTTATAACTTTGAAAATGTTTACTCTGGGCTTGTGAACTCAGGCCTGGGTCCCTTTCCCCCACCCATCCAGAATGACTGTCAAAATAAAATGGGGCAAGGACCACTGCAATCCAAAGGATTGGTTAATGACCCCATCACACCTAGAAAATGCTATGAGCTATGAAGCTTATTCTGGGGGCGTGGAAGCTGAATGAAGGAAATAAAACAAAACCATATGAAAAATTCCCATCTTTCTGGCTGTTTGAACCCTAAAGGACCAGAGACTCTAAACCAAAGCCAGAGATCCCCAGGTGCTGCCTCCTGGACAGATTCTCAAAAACAGGGCACTTACATTCGTGAGCCACTCCAGACAACCTGATAAATATAATGGATCATATGATTAATGGACCAAATTCACTGCTACTCTGTGCCTTGCATCATCATTTACATCACATCACACAAAGGTGCAAGGTAATAGTAAATCAACCCCAAAGCAAGTTATGGCTCACTTACCTTCCCTGTACAGTAACTCCTCGCTTAACATTGTAGTTATGTTCCTGAAAAATGTGACTTTAAGCAAAACAATGTTAAGCTAATCCCATTTCCCCATAAGAATTAATGTAAATGTGGGGGAGGGGGGTAGTTAGGTTCCAGGGACTTTTTTTCACCAGACAAAAGACATATATATATATATATATACACATACACACACACACACACAAACAATAAGTTTTAAACAAACAATTCAATACTGTACACAGCAATGATGATTGTGAAGCTTGGTTGAGGTGGTGAAGTCAGAGGGTGGGATATTTCCCAGGGAATGCCTTACTGCTAAATGACAAACTAGAACAGCTGAGCCCCCAAGGGTTAACACATTGTTGTTAATGTAGTCTCACACTCTACAAGGCAGCACAAATGGAGGGGAGACAGCATGGCAGAGACATACACACCCTGTGTGTGTGAGAGAGAGAGAGCTGTGCATTGTCCCTTTAAGTACACTGACCCCACTCTAAGTACATTGTCTTTTTAAGTAGATCAGCAAGTTGAGACAGCAGCTGCTGCTAGCATACTCCCTCTCCTGAGCCCTGTCATGTCCTCCCCCACTCTATGGAAATGGGGTAAGCAAGGGGCAGGAGCAAGGGGGAGGGGGACACCCTGACATTAGCCCCCCTCCTGCACAGCAAACAGGAGGTTCTCAGGAGCAGCTCCAAGGCAGAGGACAGGAGAATCACAGGACAGTGGAGCAAGGGACAGCTGAACAGCTGGCACTTGATTTCCCTGTGTGGCAGCCACCCAGCAGGCTCTTAAAGGAGTGGGAAGCTGATGGGGGGCTGCTGGTCCACCCGGGTTCCAAGCCCCCACCAGCTAGCTTTACAGGGCTGCTCTTTCTGCAAGCAGTGGACAAAGCAGGCGGCTGCCAAACACCATTATAAGGGAGCATTGTGCAACTTTAAACAAGCATGTTCCCTAATTGATCAGCAACGTAACAACGTTAACCGGGACGACTAAGTGAGGAGTTACTGTATCTTCAGTCAATTTGCCACCTTCTTAAAATAACAGCATCACACCTAGACCTGAAGAAGAGCTCTGTGTAAGCTCAAAAGCTTGTCTTTCACCAGCAGAAGTTGGTCCAATAAAAGATATTTCCTCCCCTACCCCGACCTGCTCCCCCCTGCTCCTCACAAATAGCCGTAATAGGACTGCAGTTGTGCTTTATTCCAAATCTACCATTTACATGAAGTCTGAGCAATTTTCTTGCTCTTAATAGTCTCTGAACTGGCATAAGAGGCTGGAGGAGCAGAGCAGCTTCCAGGATTGGAGCTTTACTGAAGTGAGCTGTGGCTCACGAAAGCTCATGCTCAAATAAATTGGTTAGTCTCTAAGGTGCCACAAGTACTCCTTTTCTTTTTGCGAATACAGACTAACACGGCTGTTCCTCTGAAACCTTACTGAAGAAAGAGCATCATGTAAGTCAATGCATGGAACTGGGAGTTAGAACAGCTGTTTAACTGTTCTTTTGCTTTTTGGGGGCATTCACATTACAGCACAACTTTAGAAGTTTTACAATGCAATTCTAGGCTCTGGCACATCTGTTGATCCACACATGAAACCCTATTTGAAATTAAACTCAGAACAAGTCTTTTTCTCTCCCCTCCAATATTGTTTAGTCTCTCTGCTGCCAATATCTCACACATTAGCTACCATAAATTTCTGCTAGTGGTTTAGAGGCTGCACTTTTAGAGAATGACATAGCAGTTGTTTCCAAGATTGTTTAGGGGATTATAACCAAGGACTTTGATATTTATGAAGATACAAGACAAACTGCACCAGCTGGAGGCTAGTACCACTGTATACTTTCCACAAAACATACTTCACTCGTGAAGTGCTCTTTATTTTTGCATTTGATAACATGCTCCAAAACTAAATCATCCTCTAAAAAACATTTTAAAAAGTTAAAAATACATCTTTAAAAATTTCTAGGCAAAATGGTAAACACATTTTGAAGACTCCATAAAGATAAGTCAATTTAAAATAATTGCCTAATTTTCAGTGCAGCTGTCTTGGTACAGTGGCATAGTTTCCACA